ATGTTTTCACATTCATCTGCTGACAGTGGAAAGTCTCTCCGTGCTCACTGAAAATCAGATTTTTAAGGGGCGGGCCTACCAGCATGATTTGTGACATCACAAATGGTTTGGAAGTCCACCCTGGTCCAGTGTGCAACTTATACAAGCGTGATATGGAAACTTGAAGCTACCAGTGGGGAGTGTTCGCTCCTAAATAAATCACAGTGAAGTCATTGCAGTGTGCGTGGTTCATTTTGAGGTTTTACTACATGGACCTGTTGTAGATATATGCCTGCAGGGGATCTTTAATAAAGTTTTATAGAACACAGTCAACAATATATTTCATTCAAAACAGTTTTTTATTCATTTGAGGAAACAACTCAAGTCAGAAAGCAAGAGCTCAGCTTGTTGTTGTGTGTTACAGCAGAAAATCTTATTTAAAAACACATTTTATACACATTATAGTTTTGTCAAGAATAATTATGCTTATTTGATTTTATCCTTCACAATATCTTTGGTGTGAATATTTGAAGATTGTGGTTCTTTTGTTTAATTACGGTGCTGCCTTAAGTGCTAAATAAAACACACAAAACAGTATTTTCTACTGTTGAGCTGCCGCTACAGTAAAAAAAAAAACACACTACACAAACATTAAGAATTAATTTAAACTTCTTTCATTTTCTTTGCTAGAAAGTTTTCAGGAACAGTTTCTACATTCATCTGTCAGTTTTTCAGACTAAGAGGCACCAGGGCAGTGGCCAGAAGTATTTGATGAGGAATGTCAAGAAAAAGTGCTTTAAAGGGTCCCATGAAATGAAAAATGTAATGTCCGGCTATGTGCCAGTGGGTTTATTCTGTTATCCATCATATCTATTTTAATATAACAACCCGTTCTTTTCCTGTGTCATATAATAAAAATGACACGTTTGTCCTTAAGCTAACTAACACTAACAGCGGCACTAACATAAGTAAAAACTAAATTAATTTACACTTTTAGAGCCGTTTCATGGAACTTTCAATGGAATGGTCAAGTTCACAATTTTTTGTTTGCAACATTGATTGAAAAACGTACAATTACACGAAACCAACAGGTACTAAACTGTGACATTACAGGAAGAACAGTGCAGTGAGTGATTTGGGACCACAAGTGCTCTTATTGTGAACACTTGCGACTTCAGTTTGGTATTTCTAGATCTTCGACTCAGTCTCATCTGGAGTTCGCAGCCTTCGTTGTCCTTGCATTGATGAAATCAGTTTTCCTGTACCCACACTGTTGAGAAAAAAGTGTCGATTATTGACACTCTATTTATGCTGTATTTAGATTTTTTTCACGTTGGTGCCCCCCAGTGCTAGTATCAAATACGACACAGAGACAGGCAGCATTGCTCACTGGTAGGAGGTGGCTGAAAAACCAATCCTATTAATGTATTATTGCCTCAGTGATGGAAGTGACTGTACACTGTGAACAAACAGACTTTAGGATGCTACTTGTAAGAACCACCCTTATACTGTAACCTGTACCAATCTTGTCGCAACATATCAACGTTCAGTTTATCAATGTCTGTGTTATGCATGTTTTGCTGTACAAAAATGAAGCAACGTAAAGATGCTAAGAAGATAATTCGATTCCCTAAACATAATTTTGATTTTACCAGTACTTACTATGCTGTGACACATGTAGACAGGATGGCAACATGTTAGAGCAGCATCTAAAAGATGTCTCTAATGCTTACTGTGTGCAGACAACCTCAGGACAAGGACAGGGACCATTTCTCTGCAGAATGAGTACTTTTGCCACCAGACAGCTCTTTCCGACATAGAAGTGAGGCGGTTATATCACTCTATTTCAAGCCGCAAGACTTTTTACAAAAACAGTCATTCTACCTTACAGAAAATGGGAGTTGCTAGTCTACCGCTGCCTCAATCCACAGCAAATAATGTTAGTCCTGATCTGAACTAATGTGTTAAAGTATCAAGGTCACACAATAACCGTAGGCCAGCAACTCCTGTGAAGTAAAATTACAGTTTTTATAAAAGGAGTCTGGTGGCTTTGAAGAGAGCATAAATGGACACAGCGTTAGTTTCCTGTCCAAAAACGCTGTCTGACTGCAACGTAAAGTGGTCAAAATATTCCAAATATAGTGTACACTCAAACTTTTGTTGGTGCAGTAAATTGCTTAGCACTTCACACTGACTATGGATAAGTATGTCATACAGCCTCGCTTCAAAAATCCAAGCTAACCCTTTAAGTAAGGGATCTGAATACTTCTACCACTGGGACTGACAAATATATGGCGGTTATGTGTTATACTGTAATGTGTTGGATAGGAACCCACCTTCTTATAGGCCGCATGGAGATCACTGTGTTTCCACATGGTGTGCAGCAGGACGCATGCTGCCTGACCTGCCCTGGTTGGTCCATTACTAGGAAATTGAAAGAGGAAATTATTACCTATATACTGTATAAAAGGTATAAAAAACACTACACATAAGAGGTTAGAGGTTCTTTGCTTCTGGGTGAATCCTTCTGAACTGTGTGTGTGTGTGTGTGTGTGTGTGTGTGTGTAAGGTTGACTAACCCGTTGTCCTTGCTGCTGATGTTGATGACCTTCAGGAGGGCTCCCTGATTGACGATGGCTCTGACGTGTTGCCTGTCACTCTGACTCAGGGAATTTAGGATTTGACACAGAAAAGTCGTCACCTCAGTGGGCAGGTCGGTGCCGGTGTCGTCATTGGGGAGCATCCCCACCAGTTCTGTCAACACCTGCTCCACTTCGGGACAACAAACAAAAGATTTATTGAAAGTATGGAAAGTTAAAAATGTCCAGTTCGTGGTGCAAATGGGAACAAAATATAAAAAGTTTGAATGGAAACAGTTACCAATGTCATTGTGCAGTTCGTGGTAGCGGGAGAGGTTTTTTATTAGACATATAGCCGTCCTCTTCACAGCACTCTCTCCCTCCTCTAACATCTTCTTGACATGCTGGAGGCCATTTTCCCGTTGAACAATAGTGAAGGAGATGGCTTCAATCAACTGCCAGGCACAGAAAATATATCAAATATGTGAAATATATTGCTCTCACTTACAGGTCTTAATACATAATAACTTTGTTTTCTGATGCTGTTAAAGGTTTGTTTACATCAATAATTCTAGTAAACAGTGTGACAAATAGTTGTATTTCTGATTCTGATAAGTTTTTCATCCACAGTTTCATTTGTTCAGTTAATACAAATACTCAGTGCCTTTAAAATAAATATGAACTAGTAACAAACCACCCATATGAACCATCAATATGCACAAATATGGAAGCCTGAATTCTTCCATCGCATGAATTTCTCCTTAATAAGTTATTGACTATACAATCAACAACTTTAATTTATTAATTATGTAAATAAATTGCTCACTTTTCTCTGTTTTATATTATTATGACTTTAAAGGTTGAAATGCTCTCACTTGTTTTGTAATATCGCCTCAACTTTGTTTCATTCATCATGCAGAATGAAACCCCAGACTAGCTAAATAAAAATAGATATACAGTATATTGATTACTAAATTAGTAGCCCCACTAACTCATTAATATTTCTTACTATCAAATTAGGGGAGAATCTTTAAAAACACACAAATGTGTCTGTTTTAGTTTGACACTATTCCCCACCAAAGAGATAAAATATAAGAGCTACAATTTGATTAAAACACGAAAGAAGAAGAAGAAATTTTTACTTGGACTAACTTTGGTAGCTTGTGATAGATATTTTAAATGTTGGACTAATGTGTAAAATATCATTTTCATCCTTGCCACAAACCTAGATACAGACTCTGAACAATACTTACAACTACAGTATCATATAATATAATAAAACACACACTAATCCAATTTATAAACCTCCTCTGATCCACAAAAATCTGCACAACAATCTGGATCTATAAGGTCTAAATGAGGCTGTGTGGTCACTATAGATGTATCTTTTCCTCTTTACAGAACGAACCTGTGAAACTCTAAAAAAGAAACAGAGCTGAACGTTTCTGTCCCGTCTTACCGGTCCGTTCCCAGCCGTGATGTTCTGCAGGGCTCCGATGGCAGCCTCCTGGGTGTATTGACGCACACTGCGGGCCATCAGTGACAGGTACATCCGGATGGTGATGGCGCTCCACAACCACTCCATGCCACTGGGGTTAGCCTTCTCCTCCAGCAGGGGGCACTGTCGCTCCAGATGCTGAGGAGAGACAGTTGATGAGCTGCAGTTTGTATCAGTGGGTTCACTGGGTTCATATTGACAACAACAGGCAGGTATTATGCAGCAGATTAGCAATGAATGACAAACCTTCTACCTTGTTTTGTTTTTCTTGCTCTCATTGTGTGTGTGTGTGTGCCTGTATTGGCATTTAAAGTTTACTGAACCTGTGAAGACTGGCTGAGCATCCATGCCATTTTGCAGCATCATCATAAATTAAATTTAGTTAGTAATAAACAATTCGCACTGCTCAATGCAGTCACTGAGCAGCTGCAATGCAGATGGCAGTTTAAGGGGTCTAATGTGTATGCCAAGGGTTTTTATTAAACAAAATTAAAATAAAATGTAAACTTGTGTTTTCTCTTCATTTGTCTTGTTACATGAATATATAAATATACATATATATATATATATATATATATATAAAAGAGTATAATTACATCAAATTCCCTCTACTTTCCCATCTAATGTAAAACATTCAAATATTGTTGATGATCCTTCTTGAACTTGTTTAGAAATGATTTGTGATTTGATTATATAAAACCGCACTTGACCATTAGCTTGTGGGTTGTAGCTAGCAGAACAATACCAGCAGTGGGCGTGTGTTTGGACCTCAGTCTGCAAAAAACTGGAAGAAAAAGTCTAGTCAGGGACACTATCAAGTGCGATAGGATGGGGAGAGTAGGATCTAGCATTTTGTGGTGCTTGAACCATACTATGAACTCAGAATATCTCAGTCTCGGCTGCATCAGCTCTGCCTGTTCTTTTTTTGATCTGTCTCTAGTGAGTCCCGCAACTCTAAGGAAGTGCAACACTGACTCCTTGGAGTAACATATTTAGAGCACAAATGCTATACTCAACTACACTATCTGTCCTTCCTGTCCACACACTTCATGTCATGGTTTTCGCTAAAACCAAGTAATGGAAATCTCAATCCTACAGCATATAATGACATGTTAGATAAAAGCAAACCTTCTGGCAGCAGTTTGGTGTGGAAGACCTTGACTAGTCTGCATAAAGGCCTGCACTTAACCACATCCAAACCCTTTTGGTTGATTTTGGACGCACACTGGGAGCCTTATCCCCCAACATCAGTGGTCTACATCATTAATTCACATATGGATTTGGGTGTCCAAATACATCTGGTAATATAGATTAAATTATATGCCAGTATGTGCTAAATATAGCTTATGTCACAGTTTTAAGGTCTTTAAACCTAGAATAATGTGTGCTATGTTTTGGCCACTTAGGGGCAGTAGAAACAAGCTATAAGCACAACACTAACATTATCACAAAGTTGATAGAACATGTTAGCTGTCTGTCTGTCTGTGTGCTGTTTAGCTCTGGACAGGTAGCGTATAATTAGTTTTTACAGCTTGCTTTGTCTGGAAACAATGCTGAGGAGAGCGGTGAGCGTAAACCGTGAACAGTAAAGATATAAAAGGAGCTTAAAGGCTTTGTAGAGTAGAACTGAACTGCAGAGTTGAAGATAATTCTCTGGGTTTCTGACTATATGTGACCCCTTTCATATTACATTTAGTCATTTGATATGTTGTTGATATAAAAATATGGATTAGGTCCGCTTTAATGAAGCATTGCAACAGATGCACCTGACAAAGCAGGAGTGTAAAAATGTATGATTTACTTAGTTTCTCTACACACACATATCATAAATATAATGGCCTTCTAAGAAGCTGTTTTATGCGGGATTAAACCTGCAGCAATCCAGCCGTTTTCACAGAAAACCGCTCTCAAATATTACACCACCAGGACATCTTTTGTTCTGTCAATGTGGATTATTGTCCGAAGAGATTACCTCTGGAATCTTGGCACTGCGATAAGCAAAGCAGCCGACAGCCTTTGGTTTGGGTGCCAAGCTTAGTCGAGAGTCTCTGAGATCTCTGGTGTACTTCTTTGGAAGCTCTGCCTCTAACTGATAAGACAGGTTGTGCAAGATGCAGACGCAGTTCTCTGTGGACTGTGGATCAGATAGATAGATGGGTATAAAATTAAATACAGTATGGCAAGATGTTTAATCACATTGTAGATACAACATACTGCTTGATGGGAATAACAGGTAAAACATCACAACATATATGTGCATGTATTTAATGATACAGTCTGAACTAATATAATGCTGCTGATGTAGAAATTCCCACATAACAAGTTTAACTAAAGAGGAAACAGACTGTGGAGATGAATGTTTTCATTAGAATGCTTATCACTTTTATTTTACCTTGTCATCTGTCTTATAGTCAGCTATGGCTCCCCGGATGTAGTAGATCAGAGAGTCAATAAGATTCTCACACTCCCTCATTGCTTTCCTGCCATCTGGACCAGCAGAGCTCAGATTTCTGGGAACAAAACAGTAAAAACAACCAAGGTAATGTGACATTTGTGTTTGAAACGTCAGCAATGGTAATAACAAGGAATTCCCACATTATAGTAAAAATCATGAAGCTCCCTTTCTGTCAACCACATCATTGTAAAAGGTTAATGGATGAAAGCCAGTAGCAATCACGACAAATTATTTCACAGACCAACAAAACATTTTTATGTAATCCAACTTCCTTAGTAAAATAAATACAATGATTACTCCACACAGCACGTTCTTTGTGCAGCGGTGAAACATGAATCAGAGAGGAACTCATCATTTTTCTCATCCACGGGGAGCTAAAAAGGTTTGAGACCATGATTAGGAGAACTTGAGAACATTAAGGCAGCGAGGACTGAGTGATTTCAGTTCAGCAGAGCGGAGAGAAGAGAGAGCCTGATGAATAATTCAGTCCCGCACTCATTTGATCTGGCTATAGTTGCCAGGGGAGCAGTGCATCTGATATCTCCTGCTTTGTAAACAGAGAGATGATATATGTCTTAACAACAAAGCAAACAATATGATACATAAACTTAGACCACAACAGATGAATTGTGTTTTAACACAATGCCGTGATTGTAGAGAAAATCTATGAAAACTAGGATGGTGATTATTTATCATTTCATTTAGGCTTTATTTCATGGTGTAGCTAGAAGCCTGAACTTATTATTTGTAGGTCATTAATAATAAATTATCACAAACAATTACAGGTACGATGAGTGCAAAGGTTATATCTGCAGTGCCAACATATGAATTCAATTCTTTGGCCTTTTTGACTGCTAATAACAGAAGTCGTTGTTGTTAGCAATGCTAACTAGGTATAATATAGTGACTTTGGTAATCCCGACTTTTCCTCTTACACAGGTTCACGTGTTAGAATGAAATATCATGACAACTATTGGAAATTTCAATTTGTTAAACACTTTGGTTTATGACCAAATAAGTGTTGTGATGAAGTCCACAAGGCCAACTTTGTCCTGAAATGGGTGTGTGCTACTCTTTTACCTTTGGATATTCAGCATTGAAGCTTATATGACTTTGGTTTAGTACCACAAAAAACTGTGAAGGTGCATCTTTTCAAATATATAACTACATGCAAAATGAACGACATCCCCATCAGCGAGCAAAAATATTATACATGCTAAACATCAGCATGTTAAGACACTTAACAGAAAATGGAGAAACTGGATATTTCTTTCACCCATCAAGCAGCTCCTTTTATTGGGCTTTTGCCAAAAGGATTAACCAGAAATTGAAACGAGAGGACCTAATAGTTCTTTCCACAGAAATACAGTCAATATTGACTTTCACATGAAAAATGTTATCAGCTTACACATGTTGAGAAACTGTTTACTCATAACTCAGCTTGGCATAGACAGATACTGTATATTACTGTTGCTCTGCCATCTGTTAACTATTTCCCTTTTTAATATACTAATATATATAATAATATAATATCATACAGTTATTGCCGTATGCTTCACCGTAATTAAACATCTACTGTGTAAACATTTAACATTCAGTTTCTCCATACGTTCTCCTTCATATTGATAAGACAGTGTCATTTTGTGGTCACTGATGATACAATTTGTGAAATACAATAAATTGTTGTTCAGTAATGTCTTTGATGTCTAGTCAAGAACATGATTGTTTTTGTACAAATACTCAAATTCTGTATTTAGTTTGATATGAGCTGATTATCTCATACCAGCTGGTGTCTGTTTACTCCAATCTATGATCTACACTACAAAAGCGTTCTATCTAGTTTCAAAGCCAACAAAGAAGCCTACCGCAGGCAGCCGGTGGCATTGTGAAAAACAGCAGAATCAGCTAGGAGCTCGTCTTTTGGGTTCTCGCCTTCAGAAATGCCAGAACTGGGCACCAGGACCGACTTGGTGAGGACAGATAATGCCTCTCTGGAGAGACGCTCCTTCAAAAGATCATGAGAGGAGAGGTTCCACAAAAGACCTAAGAGTGAAATACATTTCATTATTTGCTCAATTTTACCTAAAAATAGAAAATGTGGTTTTAAACATCTGAATCCCTGATTATATAACTAGATAGAAAACTGACCAGTAAGTTCTCGTCTGGTCTCCACATCACGGCTGTTCTTCAGTGCACGCAAAATGATGGCCAAGCCATCATTTTCCTTCACCTCCATCTTGTTTTCACTGCTCTGGTAAACGACATTACGTAGCGCCCCAGCGACAACGCGCTGCACTTCCTCACTGTCATTGCCGAGGAGCGGCAGGAGCTTTTCAATCCCGTGGAGGTAGAATACCTGGAGGCAACAGCGGATTATTGATTGATAAATTCATTAGCAGACAGATGCAGAATCTCTTTAAGCTATGACATATGCTATGACTTTTAATAATCATTTACCACAATTATGTCAATAATCAAAGACATTCATCAACAATATGAAAGGACTGATAACAAAGCGATAGCCAAATTAGATTAAATATTTTATTGTTCACCTCTCCTGTCTCAGGTTTAGACCGAAGTCTAAAGACTTTAAAGCCTGTTCATACGTTCTATAAAAAGTAGGATGGAATTGGTTTGTCTATTGTGTGGCAGTAAAAAAAAAAACCTACCAAAAAATCTGGAGAGATGAAATGTGGAAAGAAGTTACAGCAACAAGGCGCTGCATTAAAGGGCTGTCTCTTATTAAAGGCTTTAATTATAATGTTGTTGTCCAGACCTTAACTCTCCAGATCTCTTTATGTTGTCCGTCACAGAGCATCATAGTCAGCTAATATGTACAGCTAATACTTAATATGTAAGTCAGCCAAACCTGTTCAGCTGTTTACGTGCTCAAAAATGTAAATACTACCCCCCTAAAAAACTTAACAAAGGTGAGAGATCCAGTGTCAGTATTTCTGTATCTCTCGTGTGGTAAGTAAAGTTGAGTTTACATATTTAACTGCCAAAAAATTACATTTTGAATCACAGTAAAATTTATAAAAAAACGTACAATATTTTTAGCGTCGGCACTCCTGAAACATTGATTCTGTATGACGCTGGCTGCGCAGATGAGTGTTTCCTCATCATCCTGGGTCAACAGGTTCACGGCCCTCTCTAACGTCATCTCCGGAGGCTTGTTCCCAGAATCCCTGTGTGAGAAGACAGCCATGAATGAAACAAATGTACAATCCATAAATGTCTTAAAATACAGTTCAGTACAAAGTGAACAAACACAGGATCTTACAGCGTCATGACATTCTGCGCCTGTTTCTGCTGAATGGGGAGTCCCACCACCATCTGCCTCCCCATGTCTACCTCCACGCTGGTGACCGAGGGCGGGTATGAATTCAGTCTGCGGAGCCCCTGACTCTCCCTCCTGATCTGAGTGAACCAGGACGAGCCTTCATCAGGCTGGACAGCACCAAGTATCATATCACCGTTTTGTCCCTGCACGGTGTGTTTGTCCTGTTTATTGACAGTTTGGCTATGACTCCGGCGTGAGCCATATTCACCGCTTCGCTGGAACGCTGCGTTTGCAAACACGGGCTGTGGTGCTGTTGTCTGTCTGAGTGACCTCTGGCGGAAGCTCCCTGGTGCAGCTGTGGACATGTGCGGCCGCGTGCCACGGGGAGCCTCTGAGAAGGCGTATCGATGAAATGAATCAGAACCAAATGAGCGGTCCAGCAGAGGGCCCGCCCTGTGTAACTGACTGGGTCCTGGATGCGTGTATGTCCCATAACGGAGGGTACTGTGATTGAAGCGACTGCGAGAAAACTCTGGGCTCGGTGGTGGAGACACTTCCACTCTCCTGGATGGTCTCCGCAAGTGGTTGCTTGAAAGAGAGCGGTTAGTGTAGCTCAGTCCATTTACCTGTGAAAATAAAGACACTTATAATATATTGTGACCTACTTATTCTCCTGGTACTCTCACTTCAGAATCCTCTGGAAAACACAGTATTGCAAACTAATGAACTGGACAACAGGTCATTATGATGACTTGTACAGATAATTATTTTGAGTTATGTATAATGCATTAAAGTCTACTCTTTGTTGACTCAGTGATGTATTTATAACTCAACACCTGTACACAAAACTAACTCCAGTACAGAGTGATATTATGCATTTGTCTAAAAAACAAATGGTACAATAAATTTAAATGTATCGTATCAACGGATTAGTGGTAAAAAAACAACAACAGCCATTTATTTTACCACTAATCATTTGACAAAATAAATCAAACCTTCATTCATTTTATTTTGTCAGTTTCAGGACTCCGTACACCTTAAGCTAACACTGTTAAAAAGTCACAATAATAATCTATAATGTCAAACTAAATGGAGGACACAATGATTCATTTGATAAGCGTGGAGCCTCTGAACATAAAGCAGCAGCAGACCATTTGATTACATTCAAATTATAGCGCACAACATGCCCACGTTGTTCTTTTAGAATGGGCAGATTTTGAAGAGAGGAACTAAACCACGCATAGTATTGAACTGCATTTGATTACTATCGGCGATGGAATTACAGAAGCTGATCAGACCTGTTTGTAGCGAAGAAAAGATGATCTTTTAGCTTAAGCTTTTAGTGACACATGAATAAGATTTTACTAAATTGTTTGTGCATGTTTGTGAAGCATTAATAAATAAACAGAGGGAGGCATGTACCTTCAAGTTTGGGAAAGGTCCATCTGCTGCATCAAAGCTCTTCGCTGTGTTTTTCTGTAAATAAACACTACCTGAAACAAGTTGAAGAGGTTTTTGTTTGAGTTTACTGTTTCACACTGTAATTACCTAAAGGCATGGCAACGCTAACACTTCATCAGCTCGGGCGCAGTGCTGCGAGCGGCCTCTGTACACCAGTGCAAATCAAATGTCCTGTTCATTTGCATTAAGAGGGATTGACAAGAGGAAGGCAGGGTGAGAAGCAGGAAAGAAGAGATAAAATAGATCAAACTGATGCTTTAAATCCTGTCTGTGTCTATTATTTATGTTTATCAGCCTACTGTGTACAGTGTGAAGCATATCTACCCAAAGGCATATCTGGACATTGTGTTATCAGTGTGTGAGTGAGTGTTACAGGATACCACATAACAAAAGGACCACAATAGGTAACTTGAAATAAATGTAACACATCGTTATCTAAAGCTAAAACCGTTATTTGATTAATCAATCAACTTACTTTTTGACTTTGGGACCAGATTTATTAATTTGTTAATCAATTAATCCTTTTTAAACGTTTGCTAGTTCCCGTGGCTCAAAAGGGAGAATTTTGCTACCACTGTCATTGTCAAATACAATAGCCAACTTAATATTTTTAGTTTTTTGACACATTTCAAGACATCACAATCCATTGTATGACTTTTTTTCAACTAAATGATCAATACTTTCATTAAGAAAATAAGCTGCAGATGAACTGATAATGAAAAAGAACCATTAGTTGCAGCCATATTAATATGTAAGTGACAGAAAAATGTCTGACTCACTATTCATTATCCTAAGTTAATAAGACTTTTCATATCTCTGGTTAGTTGGTCTCAGGTGAGGGAAAGCATGAAAGCATTCTCTTTGAAAATAGTCTAGTCATTAAGGAAAGCCAGCCAAATCTACTTCCTACACTGGTAAATCATCTTGTATAAATATATATAGCAAGTCTATTAAGATGTAGTGATCAACGCTGTCCTAAAAATATAGTATTATATTTGGTTGATGACTCACTGGAGTTCATATCTGACCCACCCATATCTTTATTTAGGCTACCCAATGTATAATAAATAAAGGCATAACCCCCCAGGGAAGCAAGTGGGTGAAATATTAAATTCAAGCTGTCAGCTGTCACTACCATCTCACCTTTAGGGAGATGATTGAAACTGCTGAAACCTGTTGGACAAGCAAACTACTACACTGCATGCATTCCAGAGGCGACGAAATTCCTGTATTTAGTCTAGATGATAGTAGACCTACAGTACACAGAGCACATCCTCTGAATACAGAAGACCACTTATAGGGTTTGGTTGGGCCTCACAAGATGATTTATGGGCCAAGACATAAGAAAAATGTTGCTCTGCTGCTTAATTTCATTCTTTTTTCTGACTAATCTTTGCCTTTTTTTCTCCAATCAGAGTTAAACTTAAACAATCAGAGAGGATTGTGGAATAAAATCAGATTTTGGTTGAACTGCTCACAAATCATGAACATATTAAACCAGTTACAAATGTCTCACAAGCAGACACTGCTTCATTTACCACAAACCAATCAAAAAGGAGTAGCTTTTTTGCATTATCTGTAACAATATCTGACATCCAATCCATACATTAATAATGATCACTGAAGACAGCTTCAAACTGAACATTACCATTTGACACAGGCTTCCTTGTCCTTCGTGCCAGTGTGAGCTGAACCTGCTGCTGAACGCGCAGACTCCGGTCGCTTGAATTCACCAACGTCGAGGACATCGGAGTCGGCTCGGCCGGCAGAGCCAGACTCGAGTCATCCAGCACGAAGGAGTCCTGTGCAGGTAGCGCTGATTTAAAGAACAGCCCCTCTTCCATGGTGAAAGGATCCGCTTAGAAACAAGGGTCTGCTTTAATTAACTACACAGGTACCGCTCCCCGGATTGATGTTTCAGCCCTGCTTTGTTGTGCCACACAGGTCCTGACACTGGGGGAGGGCGGGGCTACAGGGGACGCACCTGAGGTGTCAGGTGACGTTGCTGGGGTGGTATCTGTTATCATGACTTTTCACTATTATTAAATTGTACTCTCTCTCTTTTTCACTTTTTAAGAGAAATATGGTATGATATTATATATATGCATCCACTAGTTTGTATTTAACAGGTGTAGCTGTTTCACACAGGTATAAAAGAGTTTAACATATAGTTAAAAAAATGTATAAAACCCCCACAAAGTAGTTTAAAGAATAGTTCAACATGTTGGGAGTTGCACTTATTTGCCTTCAGGTGAAGAGTTAGGTCAGCTAGCTCGGATAGGAAGATTGGAACTCCTCAGTCGACTACTACCAACTTGGTTAGGTCAGTTAGGTTAGCACAAAGGTAACCAGGGGAAACACTAGTTATCTATACCAGCAACAAAACAGTAATCATCACATTATATCTTATTTGTTTAATCTGTAGAAAAAAATATAAAAAAACCATAAAACAACAATAAAATTCAGTTTCACCTCTGAGCAGGTCTAATTGTAATCCAATCGCTTGCTTGATTAATCGATATAACATGTTAATGATGAGCTTTAGATGTGCTGGTAGGTCAATATTGTTCAGGCCAGCTGTTTCCCCCCTAACTCAAGTCTTTACACTAAGATAAACTAAGCTAATTAGCTATTGCTGATGGATATGAGCGCAAAAATGTCAAACTATTCCTTTAAAATAAGCTCCACATTGGCACAACAATAAAATGCTGGATATTATTATTTAAGTAACATATTTTACAATAATATAACTCTTAAGGGGGCATTCTGCTGCACAATAAGTACTTTTACTTTTTAATTACATTTTGCTGATACAACTTTTGTATATTTACTGAAGCAGGACTTTTACTTGTGCTACTTTACTTGTGGAGTATTAATTAACTGTGGCATTAAAATCTGACTATTCCAGATTTATCATAAACAAACAAAATTTGCCAAATTTCCTCGGTAACTAGAGGAAATATGGGCCAATTCTTCAAATGTTTGTAAATGAAATTGCCTAAATTTAAACATAACAGGTGGAGGCTATTGTTCACCTGGTGATGAGTCAGTAATAGTTGCGTGCATGATGACTTTTCCACACTGGACCATTACCCTGCCCTCTTTGGCTTGAGCTGTAAGGGCAAACTGCTGCCAGACACAAGAGGCGGCTCCTACCAGGTGTGTTTTCCTAGGGAAAGGAGCCACTGTCAAAGTACAATTAGACCAACTTTTATAACTATACCTACCAGACATTTATGACGATGATGTCGGCTTGTCCTACCCCCTCCCAGATAAGAACAAAAGACCCAACTTCTATTGTTCTATTGTTAAGATTTTATAATATGTCCAATTATGTGACTTCCACACAAAGCTGGCTCACTAGGTAAAGCTGTCCTGAAGGCTCACATGCTTTTGGTTGTGGATAAAATGCATATTTAGCTTGAGGAAATCAGTAATGGAAATCTGGTCCCAGAGTCAAAATGTAGTTTTACAGCCTCTGTCATCTGATCCTGTGTGAACTGTCTAACCAATAAAATGTCTTCCACTTAAACGTGTAACATTACAGATGTTAATCCTTCCTGCAAATGGGAGATGGGGGTGAAAAGTTGAACATATTTTTACACTGGGGGCCATATAGCAGGTTTAGTCATGCTATTAATACACTAATCCTTTTTGATAATCAGCTGCTCGGGCCTCTCATCCATTAAACTTCAAGAATCAAAACCACTGAGTCATTTGCAAAACAGTGATTCCTTGTACAAAAAAAAGAGTGACAGTGTACACAGTCGATTCGAATAAATAAAAATTCAACCACAGTTGCAATAAGATTTTTCCCCCTTTAATGCAATCTTTTTCTCAGAAACAATCTTTCCAGTCCAGGTCTTCAAATCACGTTCACATGAAACTTTTCTGTGCATAATATTCATGACAAAATGGTGACAAATATTTCAGTTGATTTGAGTAAAATTCTCCGTATACACCAATGTGACATTACAATGTGTCCAGCAAACAATCAAGCTGTCCAAAATCCATCAAACACACACGACACCGGTCGTTTAGTGTCTTACATTTTTTTTGTACTTGAGCGCATACATTTCATTTATTGGATTCGTATCCACACTGTCATGCTTTACCCCAAACAAGCAGCATTCATAGTTCAACATAGACCCAAGCATCAAACACAGGGTCCAACAGTTGGAGAAAGGTGTTTCAGGGGGACACTGAGCCACATAACTTGATGATTAATGGGTTTGAGTTAACTTTATTTCACATGGCGAGTGGATTTTAAAAACAGTATGGGGTAAAAAGAATAAGTGCATGTGGTTCATTAATCATTATTTCAACATTGAAAGATGCAGCTCTTAAAACACACTTGTTCACATTATAATGGTTATATTCTGAAATTACATTAATTAAGTGAATCATAACAATGTTTAAGGTTATTATAATTTTGGCCTAGAAATCTGTATGATTTAATGTGACATTAAAACTTTTTTCCCACCTGAACACCAACAATTTTTTTTTTTCAGTTTGGCACATCATATTTCACGTTCATCAACCAACAATACATACGTGTACACACACACACACACATACAGAGGTTTGAGGTGGTTGGAGTCCTTATTTACACCACACTAGGCTGAAAAGTTTATGATGGCTGAATTGGTGTATCAGAGTTTATGATACTGCAGATAAAACGCTGTAATGGAGCAGTTGAAATGAGTTTTGAAAGATAAGTCTGGGTCACATGGGGAATAAACAAGACAATTAATATTTGTCTGTGAAAGTGAAAGTGTATGACAAATTCAACTTTTCAGTTTAACCGAAGCCTCCAAAACATTTCTCTGATAATTACTGCCCTGCCTTTATTTTCTAAAACTGCATATCCCCCCCCAAAAAAAAGTTATAAAAATCCAATTTCATCATTTATGTCTATATTAATACTCAGTCTTGTGTACCTGATGCTCACAAGTTGATTAGCAAGATGCTATATATATAAATTAAATCTATCCGGTCTTTATTTCGTGCGTCTCACTGATCATCTTCATTCATAATGGACAGACACACTGATTTCACCAAACTGTGATTTTAAAATGCAGTAATTCAACCGTCTCTATTTCATTAGACACAAACCAACCAGCCTTCATATCCTAAACCTGTGGCACATTGTCATTGATACAAATACACTGTACATACTGTTCTCAGTGGGTTTTCTACATGTTTTTTTTCCTGCAATTTATACATTGTTAAAAAATATATAAAATATTAAGATAAATTTTACAGATTCATTCAGGTTAAAAACACATGTTCAATGTTTCTCTTCAAAGCTATTTACAAATCTCTGTATGGTTACTAGTCGTCATTCAGCTGTCAACACAGGAGTGAGTGGGTGTCTCTTTTCAGCGAGAACGCTTACGTAAGCAAAACATTATCTGAAATGATTACAGTTTAACTGCTGAGTTGAGCCATTTTTCTTTGGACTTCTGTCTCCATATTCTAAATGTAGTTGTTGTAGTTGTATTTGCCTTTAATTGACAGTATATAATACATATAGGACACATGAAGAGAGAAAGAAAGGGGGCCCCGGACACTGACTCGATGGATGTTGTATTTTATGAACCAGTAAAATCTGCCCCAGACTTAGTGGGATACGAGTAGAGCTGAAATGATGAACTGATGGACAGAAACTGTGATAACTCTTTTTCTACATTTTATAGACCGAATCATAAATTGATTAATCAAGCAAATAATTGTCAAATGCAACTATGATGAAAGTAGTTTTTAGTTGCAGCCGTAGGCTCAAGTAATCTTAGTTACCTGCAGGTGGTGGAGGAAACAATCACATAGTACATGGAAATTACGTCATTTGGTTGTCGTTTCTTGTTTTCAATTGCCTTGCAGCACCATGAGTCATGATAAAAACTGCTGAGCATTAATTTAGAGATTTAGAGCAGTCAACCACAGTAATTTTCATTTAAAGTAAAATACACAAATGATTTGAAGAAAAATCCACTTTTTAAATGACCAGAGTTGAAATAAACTCAATTGACCCTAGCAGCACAATACCTAAGGCAGAGATGTACTTTTACAGCATTAAATACTTTCACTGTGACAACATGGGAAACAGTAAACACTGACGAAAGGTATGTGGCTTTTAAATGGACAACAGTTTGTTGGAACAGTCAAGGTTAGCGGACATGTAAAACCTTAGAGGTTAAAGTTTAACTATAAACACAGCATCATGACTCATATCCAGTTTTTAGTTTAGTATCAACTCCCTGACAGCTGGTAGTCCTGTGAGATAGTACGTCTTTGACCTTTGACCCTGTCTTTTTGGGCTGAAAGACATTCCTATCATGGCATTTTCCCCCATTTAATTTTGTAGAAAGGAGATGTTGGAGGTGGCTTTATCACTTCAGGCCAAAACTTAATCTTTAGAAAAAAGTTAATTAGTGATTGCATTGTGTGAAAAAAAAAATCCCCACTTTACATTAAAATGCAACATATCAATGCTCAGGCTTTTTTTTTTTTTTTATCCATGATCTATGTAGTAGAATATGATATATGCCGTTATCATCATCATGGGTTGATGACTAAAACATTATTAAGTCTGAAAACATTCCCCACATGGACGTGCTTTGGGGTCAATTACTCTTTTTATTGACTAGAAAAAAATATCCATTCTGCTAAAAATAAAATAAAAATGGCCGTTAGTGAAATAAAACAACCCAAATACAACATTCATACAGTTTCTGTAAGGCATTCCTTCACCAGGTCATTAACGCACGCGGAGTCCACTGCAGCTTCTTCTTCCCAAGCTTCAGCTCATCAGTCTGGTGTTTGCCAGCAAAAGAAAAAGAGTTCTTGAGATAGCTATATCCACAGTTGTTCTGTCAGAGACTTCTCCCGCTCTGTCACACGAGTCTTTAACACAGTTCTGGCGATGGCTTTGGTCTGTCCTGCAGCTAAGACTAGAAATTATACATACAGGAGAGCCGTAACTCTGTAAAGTCGTTAGATTCATGCAAGACTGTACAGACTTTCAGTGAAGTGCCCGAGCTGGACAGGACACAAGTTTTGGTGCAGTCCTATCTGCAGGAGGTGCCCAACACGCTGCCCGTCGAGGGAGTGGTGGCGGTGGCGCTGTAATGGGGGTAGTTGTCGTTCGGCGGTGGGCTCGGGAGGATGGAGTTTCCGTTGGTTGGGGAGCAGCTGAGCTGGAGCCTCCTCAGGTACTCGGCGTGGACGGGTTTGTGGCTCTGCAGCACTTTGATGGCCTCGTCGACGGTGAACCACTCCCGCTTACGGCCTGCAGAGGGAGACAGAGCACAATGTATGAGTTAAAAGGAGGCTTTCATATTGGGTCTTCCTTGTTTAGTGCAATTAGAGTGCATACACACTTAATCCATTTTGTTTATACTGTATGAGTACAAAATAGCATATGCTGTAACGTCTTTCAGATTTTAAAATATGAAAATAGTGAATGTAGCAGGCGTAGTAACAGGTTGAGGATGCTCTCCACTGAGCACACAAAGTACTGGTGTCCAGGCTGCTGACAGCTGTAATATGCAGCCAAGAACCACTGTAACTAAGATCAGTGGCCTAGATTTATAGGCACCTGTTGTCACTGCATTCCCCTCTGCACACATAGTCCCCATGCACCGGCCTTCACATAAAAAAAAAAAAAATGATGTCTGCATCCGCAAACATTCGGGGGGGGGGGGGATACTGTACCTATGTTGACGGAGTCTTCCCAGGCCTCCAGCGTTTCTGTGACAGTCAACACATACACGTACGTCCTGTGCTTCCGATCTTGGTTTTGCTTTAGGGATCAGAAGGAGAGGAGGCTAAATATTTCATGCTAAAACAAAACCAAAAGTATACGCGAATGCAATAAGAGGAGTGACAAGACAAGTCTTCAAATCTGCTCTAAAAAAAACTAAACGTTGCATTTGTAGCAATTTTATGTGTTAGCTCTCCAATATCTGCCTTTGTTGTGTTTTGTGGATGTATTGTTTAAAAGATCAAAATGATTCTGATGCATTTGAAGACGAAATCTTACCTCAAATACACCGAGCAGACGTCCTAGTTTGCCCTTCACGCCAGCCTGAGGAATTAATGATCAAAGAAAAACATCAGAAAAAGTTCTTTTTTTCCCCCCCTTCTGGCTCTAGTTTACAGAACAAACAGACAGCAGAGGACACTTCTTTGTATGATTTTAAAAGTTTTGAGTAGCTGTGGCCTTACAGCACAATCCGTCACAAATATGAATAGAGGATGAAAAGCAGTGTATATTCTGTGTCCAAACAATGGGCATTGTGTATTACATTTCAGTGTTTTAAACAACTTCTGCAGGGCCGCCTCTATGCGCTGAACTCTACTGTAACCTCCCAGGCTTTGTGTGGATATAGAAATGCTTGACAGACAATTGCCCAAACACAAAAACACGCAGAATAAATCCCTGCACCCAGACATAGTTCATTTTTGTCCTCTGTGGCCACACAGCTTCTTCAATTTTTGTAGAAACCGTCTACAATGGTTGTTTCTCTCCAAGATGTAATGATTTCTATACAGAACGTTGTAGTTTTTTTATGACTGGTTGGTATCATTTATTTGTAATGTCCCTTGTCACAATCCTGAAAGAGTATCATTACGGAAATGTAATTATGTCTCTTTCATAACACTTAACAGTTGCTTTATTATTTCAGATGCACTTCACAGGAATCAAATTACTGTCAAGACATATGACATCTGTCCCCTTCTCCAGTACCCTGCTCAGCATACTTCACAAGTGTCACTGTGTCCTCCTGATGTGTCTGAATGCACAAGAATCCAGTGAGAAGCCAAGTTTAGACCGCTGAGGTTGCTGAGAACACAAGGTTCTCAACCAGGGGGGACCTCTAAAATACCAGCGTACACCTCAGTCATTCAGCTACTGACCGTGGCCCTTCGAGAATCTCACCCTTAGCATGCACGCTGCAGCCAACTGTTCGAAACCACGCAACCCCGGTTCTGGTCATTTTAGCACTGACTGGAAATGGATAATGATGTGAGAAAGTCGTGTAACCCCAATACATTTAGCAGGATTGCTAATAATAATAATGAATGGAAAGACCATTTCCCTATCCAAAATATCACAGCTGCTGTACTAGGTTTCTTGGTTGAAAAAAAAATATGAGAATTATTTGGAAAATCCTGCAGTTGGAACATAGACAACTGCAGCTATAACAGGAAGACATTTCAAAAGAGCACATTTTTACAAGGTGCTTTGAATGCCTGTTACATAACAGACAGGTGGTTTCTGGATGTAGGTCAACACTGTCAAAATAAAATATGAGGCCATTTTTCTTTTTTGAAACCGCTGAGTTTAACCACCTATGTATATAACCACCTTCATTCTTGTTGTGCGCTCATTTTATGACCGCACACAATGACCCCGCTTTGCAGTTAAGACCCAGTTCATGTGGTATCAAAAACCTGTATTATAAACGGTTTATTCACCTCCTCAAACACCTCTCGCACTGCAGCACCACACGGCTCCTCTTCTGGCTCCATCCCGCCTCCGGGGACGATCCACTGGTCCGGGTGCCGACTGCTGCTGACCAGCAGAACCTGTAAAAGAAAAGAGAAGAGGACACATTATGAACTGTAAAATGTCTCAATTCATTTATTTTACTGTGAAATAATGTGTGTCTTCATAAGCCTTAGTTTCAGAGGTACATTTAATGGGAACATTAGTACATTTATATTTGCCTCAGTGACTTCCTTGCTCTATTCAGTGGCCTTGACTTGACATCACATTGAAACTGAGGATTTACCATGAGATATGACTCTTGACCCCTGTTTGACTCAGGTCTCAAGGAGTGACGGCTGATGATTGGTGCTGCCTCTGCTATTTATTCTCCGTTGTTGCTTAGAGGAAATCCACCTCTGGCTTCAGAGCTTTAAATATTTCAATCCGACATGATATTTCGTGTAAATGGTCTTTTGAGTGAAACAAATACATGGAATTAATGGAATATATTGAAAAATATCATAGTGATCCACATTCAAAAATGGCGTTAGCTGAATCTAATTATTTATTCATATGTTTTAGGGTATCTTGGCGTGCATCGAATATATTTCTCTCCAACTATTTTTAGTTTGTTCTTTCTCTGAGGTTTCGATTATCCGTCTCCTTATAATAAATAAATAACATTTTTGGGATTTTTCCAGCCTGGCGATGAATCTCAATCAAAGCCAGTGTTGAAACGGTTCCAGCACAACATGACCCCAGCAAACAATGCATGTAAACCAAGCATAAGCCACTCAAATTCTGTCATTACGCCCCCTGAGCGGCCTGCGGGGCTGGAATTACACTACAGTTGCAGTGTACAGCGATATGCACGGATCAGATGTGCCCGTGTCTGCAGTTCCTTCCAGTATCCATATAGCAACCACAACAGACGCATGCACACCTGCTGTAACCATTATCACATTTGCATGAAGCAATTCAATCGCTGTTAAAACACGGTCTGTGTGACAGGACACAGGTTGCAGTGATATCATCAGGCAATACAAGAAAAGCCAATTAAAGAGGATTCAAGGTGCAGTCTTGTCATTGGTTCGATGCAGTCTCACAGCGTGTGATTGTCAGCTCCGAAATTATTTTGCAATACACAACGATCAGTGAATCTTACTATACGTGCATTAAAGAGAGAAAAGTGTGTTAAGCAGCTTGTGCAACATATGGCGACATCACCCTCTGCCACTCATCTCATCACCATATCCAGTAATCTGCCAGAGGAGTCAGTCTGTCACTTAATCCTAACTCAGCTTTCGTATAGCTTCCCTTACGTTCCCTAATGGGATTGTGGCTGCATCCACCACAGAGCTTCTCAGGATCTCCTAAGGAGCCGAGGCTGACGGCCAAACCGATTGGACGCCACATGCTTGGGGCCTTGACCAATGAGCGCTGTCGGCTGGTGTCTCCCTCACGTGCCATTCACCCAACTCGGCCACCTGCTTATTCCCACAAGATGTAGGTTACAGGATGAAGGGTGGGAGGTGGAGGAAGGGTGGGAGGTGGGGGGCTCAAGTGTGCAGCTATACAGTAAGAATGTCGAGCACGATGATGTGGATTAAGTGTGGGCATGCTTAGTAAACATTTTCCGGTGATGAAAAGGTTCACGAAAAACATAACAGGTGTTTATTGAATGCAACAGGTGCGTGTTTTACAGTAGGTACAGTAAGTGACGTGTGTTAAAGGAAAGGGGGCATTTACACGAATAATATTTATGGTGCTGGTGCAGAACACGACGTCTTCTCGGAAGAGTGCAAACGGGAAAATAAATGTGCAAAGTTGAACCTTGTAACCCGTTCGAGTGAGCCCTTTGATGTGCAGGCTGGCCTTTGCAAATGAGGTGAGCTAAAACAAACTGAATGTGAACTTTTTCTCCTTTAAATCACGATCTGTGAAGAAAAAAAAAAGAAAAAAGATGTTTGAAAGATTTAGAAGACGTGTGAGATGTTTCACATGCAGCAATGACTTATTTGTCCTCCTTTTGAACACGAACGTCACCTGCCAGCAGTCTGTTTTTCGTGTACTTCTGTGCAGGATGCGCCATTTCATGATGTAATAATATCATTCAGTCTTTATCTTTTGGATGTTGGAGATTTCAGAGCACACTGTCTGATTGTGTGTGTCTGCGTGCTGAGCTGCAGCCAGCGGGGCTTACAGGGAGATCACTGGTGTCAACTCGTCCTAAGCCGAGTGTGAGATGTATACAAAACAAAAGCCGTGGAGCTTCCGGGGCAGCGGGGACAAAGCAAATTTCTGCTTTGGTTGTTCCATTTTTATCTTTTGGTTGCTGCCCCCCAGGAATTCTTATCTGTCGGTCGTCAGAATACAGCACGAGCTGCATTTAGTTTGGTTTTAATGAAATTAGGAATGTAGAGCACTCAATCGACATATTACAAACTGTGTGTAATTAAGAATTTGTTTGTTCGCGTGTGCTTCTGAGATGAATGCAGCTACCCGTTCATGAGAGGGAGCAGCAGGGGTTTGGTGTTGCCTTTTAAGCTTTGAAAAAAAGGAGACGTCAGTGAGACGAGACATTTGCCATCACAACAAAATCAACCCTGCAAGCTTTCCTTTTGCCTTTCTGAGCACCAAGTCACTTGGATAAGTCAATTCACTGAAATGCAAGTATTTGAAGTTCATTAAGTGGTCAGTGATCCATACCCAACAGCCCAGTCACATGAACTGAAGTACCCTTTTAACACCACCCTTAATGCTCCAATGTGTTCTTTTGAACTGATTGTAAATCAAATTTTATTTATTTATCGCTATTCCATTTTATAAAAGTGGACATTTCTTTCCATACAATGAAGCTTTTAGCTTTCTATTTCAACCAAAACTTTACTCTTTCTGAACATTCCTCTAAGTTTTTAAAAAAGAAAAACAGGTAACATTGCCTTAAACTTAAACCATACCATAATTACAAAATAACTCACACAGTCACGATATATAGGTCACCTGACAGCTGAGCTCTGAGCACACAGAAACCCACTTTATATTTGGAAAGAGGCAGGGTTAAGGAGAAACCCCACAGGAACACTGCAGTGTTTCCCGGTGACATTTTACTGTTTTGCAACTCACACCACTACCCAGGGGCCCCCACTGTGAAAGGTGGTGGGCGGATTCGGAGACGACATACAGTAAATCTTATCCGGTTAATGGAAAAGACCACGGGCGAAAGTTAAGACTCATGTAGCATTATCTAACCTTTCTCGTATTCCAAAAATTAATCTTACAGTGCAACTTTACACAAAAACAAGCTTCGACTCCTGGATAACCAACATGGACATGGCATAAATGCAAATGTCTGTCTTGTTGTGACTGATTTAGAAAACATTATCAGTCATTCTTCGCTCAATTTTTCAATTTGAGATATCAGAACTATGATCGGTAGGCGCAAGGGAAGTTCCTGCGGTGGAAACGCGGCTTATGACAGCAAGTCCTCTGGCATGGCCTCAGACAGAGACAGCAGGCAGGGATATTCTGGAGGACAAACACCTCCTCCTCCTCCCCGAGGAGGAACGCCTGTAGCTGTCAAATAAAGAAGGCTCCAAATGCCAGGTCAGGCCGGGAAGCAGGGAGGAGAGAATGATGGAAAGTCTAAGACACTCGAGTACACAAGTGCAGGGGGTGGAATCAATAGTGCTAAGACGGTAATATAGTCGCTGCATTATACAGGTATCAACAAATAAGAGAGGAGTCGTAAACAGGCAACGCCAGAGACAAACAGCAGGAGAGACAAAGACAGAGAGACTGAACGCCTACGTTTCTGACTTTATGATGAAGCATCCACTCACACTGATCCCCTCCCATTTCGAGTATGACATTATTTACAATCTGCTGCAGTACCTTCAAAGTGTAGCATCTGTGTACACACTGATAAAGACGGAGGTTACTGCTGGAAGTGTCATCCCAATCTCACTCTGAATAACGCATGCATCTGCGGCATTATATGAAGTTTACTTTAATAAAGCCTCAACACAGATGCAGTATGTTAAGCATTGGGTTGCTTCTAAATCCTAAAGATTTTAATGGTGCTATTAAGAGGTTGGATTTAGAAATAAAGATCGACTACAGCTAAAAAGGACACCGACACTTGAGGGAAGTGTGAACAAGCTGTGAACGCAACATTGACATATTATCACCTTTTAAGTTGATATGGCGGACATGTTAGCAAAGGTTGCCTGTTTACACATCCAGAAGATATGAGGTGACATTAGTGTTGATATGGAGTTATGTTTCTGGCATCCTGGGGAGTGAGAATCCAATATTCACTCACCTTTTAGCTCTGTTTTGGTCTCCAATGTCTGTCTCTTTAGCTGCTAAATGCTTTACTATGTCCACCAGCTAGTTGCCAACTTTATCTTTCTAGTGTTTGATGCCGGACAGGTAGCGTACACTTCGAGTTCTTTTGATTAAAAAAAACAGCTGCCTGCTGTTGCTGTGAGAGCTGAGGGGAACTGCAGAGACAGGTAATAATTCTCTGTAGGTAAGTCATTAAGAGCAGTCGATTTCCCATTATACACTTATTTATTGTATTGTTTATATAAAAATATTCATATAGCAGCTTTAAAGCTTTACTTTCGACTACATTTAGATGCTTCTGCGCAGCAACCAGGTGACACAAAAAGTTTGCTCAGCTACCCACCCACACGTGTGAGGCTTTCACTGCCCACCTCCCAATATCCAATTAGAATAACTTCAGATGTTTCTAGAATCATAAACGTCTACTTGTTTCAACTGGAATTAAATGAGTAAATGAAACTTAATTACATACTCTTTCAGATATAAACTACTTACTTTACTAGGGTTTCAACAACTTATTACTTCACTATTATGATGTAAAATAATTAAGGAAGCTCTCTTAGCACACAGGCCCCAAGCAGCTCATATGCTGTTAAACTAAGGTGCCCTACTCAGCTACCGCTGCCGTCCCTCTGCTCTGTCAGGTTCACGTTTTCCTCAGTTGGGAGTTTAATTGCTGTCAGAGTACCTCACCCCGAGGGCTCAGCTTTCTCCTTTCCTCTCCAAAACAAAACAGTCCAGCAGCATGTGTGGCTCTTATTTCACCACAGTTCGATCTCCTATGTCTAGGAACTGACTGTGTGTGTGTGTGCGCATGTAATCATGTGTTTAAAATAAGTATCGATAACACAAAGCCACATATCTCAAGCTTCTTTATACAGAAAAATTGCCATTGTCAGTGTGCACACACAACAAGAGCACCAGATTGGTTCTCCTACTTCGAGCAGTGTAATCTCTGTGGTTGCATGAGCAGACACGCCTGTCAAAGCCTGAAAATCCTGAGGGCGATGATCACACCTACACACTTCTGTTGTCACAATATCCTCTGACTGTCCTTTCGTGGAACTACAAAGTAGAAGAGCATAACCACAGCGTACAATGAAGTTCGGAGAAAAATTACGCAAGAGCAAAGTATTGCAGACACAATGTCTTACAACATAAAATACAAAATGCTCTAATTTTATGTCACCATTTTTTATCTTTTATGGTTCTACACCCAAAACGCAGACATAATGATGACATAACATCTGCTCCTGGGTAAGTGAGCAGATCTGTGTGTGTGTGTGTGTGTGTGTGTGTATCAATCTTCAGATCTGTGATTTGTACAGCCAAACCCTGGAGGGCTCAGGCAGACCTCTCTGTGCCAGTCTAGTGACACCAGACTGCGCTGCTTTTACAGTATTGTATATAACAGTTTGTTTATGCCAAGCTCCAATAAGCTAAATTTAGACATGCCAGAATATCCCACAATAACAGAGATGTGGTCCTGATGTTTAGACATAAACATAGGATTATGGATGCATGTTATTGGCCCCACAAGGGAACCAGTAACTTCACACGCATGAATATATGTAACACTTAATATAACAACGTTTAACCTTGGCTATAATCAATCAATCACATACTAAGCTATTAATTTAGCCCAAAAAAATATTTTATTTTCTATACATGGGGGGTGTCATGTGATCCAACACTGGCCTAATGCCTTGAGTACGTTAATAAAGGCTCTCTGGATAGTAGATAGTAAGTATAAGATCTGTCTGACCCTTTTTCGTATTCCATGTCCTGTTTAACTGTGAAAGAAATGTTTGTGTATCCACTTGTTAAAGTTTTCAGACTCATTTTGACCAACCCTTTGTCTGTTTTTACATTAATTAGTGTTTGTGGCATGTAAAACAAAACAAAAAAACATCTGTAACTGTGTTAACCAAAACATATGAAATAAAAAAAAACACAAAAAATATTACAGTATCTCTTATAATAACCTAAATATCCTGGGAATATGGGAAACAACTCAACACTGCTCAATTCTACATGAATCCCCTTTAAAGTGGATCTACTGTGTTGCATATCACCGACAAAAGTCTGTAAGACACAACAACAACAATAAGTGAGTCCAGTATCCATTATTTACACGGTACAGGCCCCTTTAAATCCTCATCCACATCATTGCTACGCAGCTGCGCCGCTGAAGGCCGG